CTGGGTTTGTCCCTATTTTACCCAGCACTGGGCTGTATTTAACCCAGCATTTTTTAGAGTGTATGAGTCCTTGCATACCAAAAAAATACTACAGGTTACAGATTAGTTATAGAATTAACATGCTTACACATGGCTGTAACCAGGATTTGAAAATTAGTAAGGTCTGGGGGTGTTCAGAACTGTGCTATAATAACACCTACAACTCAATATATACACTTCATATAAACTTCAAAAGAGAAAGGCATGTAGATGTTTGTGAAAGATCAGGGCTTGCAAAATCGCTAGCCTGACGTCCCGGGGCTATTGTGTTTTCCAGTCGGGCTACCAAAATGTATCACCACTCTGCCCGACGGGCTATCTTAAATGCAGATCTCCCGCGGGTCCTTAAAAACTCATAAAGTGAGTTGTATCAAACCTAAGGCCATAAAACGTTTTAAATACGTTAAATGTTATAAGAAATATAATTATAATTTCAGTTTCTTTTCCCCTAATTTTTTTCCAATTGATGGAAATCCGTCGTAGCGATGGAAAACAAGCACTTTCAAGGACCTATGTTTGTTTTCAAGTACTTTCCAGGCCTTGAATCCATATGTCTGAAATTCAAGTACTTTCAAGAAGCGTGGGAACCCTGACAGAAACTGCACTTGTTAAAATTACAAATGACTTGCTTCTTTCGTCAGACCAAGGCTGCATCTCATTGCTAGTTTTACTTGATCTTAGTGTGATCATATTACACTAATTTTACAGTCACTGGCTACCTATTAAGTTTTGTATCAGTTACAAAATAGTATCACATACCTATAAGGCCCTTAATGGGTTAGCTCCTGCTTACCTAACTAGTCTTTTACCACGCAAAAATCCATCACGCTCCCTAAGATCACAAAACTCTGGACTTTTGGTAGTACCTAGGATAGCAAAGTCCACTAAAGGAGGTAGAGCTTTTTCGCATTTGGCTCCCAAACTCTGGAATAGCCTTCCTGATAACGTTCGGGGTTAAGACACTCTCTCTGTTTAAATCTAGATTAAAGACACATCTCTTTGGCCAAGCATTCAAATAATGCATCTCATAATCTTGTACTGCAGTTATATCTGATTAAATGAACATTATTATTTCTTAGCTTGGGTTGAACAAATCATTTTTGCTTGGTTGGAACAGCAGCTACGCTAATTATGTCTCTATTTGTTTCTCTGTTTCTGCCACGGGATGCTAGGATTTACACAAGCTTCAGTCTGGATCCAGCCCTTACAAAGACCTGAGATGACCGAACGCCTGAGAAGAGATGATGCCAACGCCTCAGAGGACCTCAGATGATGCCAACCCTGAAACAACAAACTAACAAATTTTGCTACAAGTTTGATTGCAACATGTAATCATTGCTGTTAATGGTGTTCATCGTCTGTTTGATTACGTCATTAACTGAATTTTACCGTACAGTTCTGCCATATGTACATCAATTTGACAGTCACCACTGATAAGCTACTACTAAATATATTGTAGAAACTTAATTTCCTGTAAAGCTGCTTTGCAACAATTTGTATCGTGAAAAGCGCTATACAAATAAACTTGAATTGAATTGAATTAATTTGACAATTGCAAATAAACTTCCCTGGTGATAAGTAACAAATATTTTTTCTCTTATGGCAAATTGATTATTTAAGTGTGTTTCAAAAATTGCAGGTCACAAAATCTTTGTTCACAAAAAATTATGTTCTCATAATTGTGTTTTGTTGCTGTAATTCAAAGAATATTTCATGTATCATGAGTTCTAGAAGGAAAAAATGCATTCTAAAACTTCAGATCCACAGATGCACTGAGACAGACAAGTCATGACAGATGTTTTCTTTAGCAGACAGTTTGTATCTGTCTGCTTGAAATGTTGCATGCCACTTACATCAGCAACAGTCAGGTGGTTCTTACAATCTGACATTGCCATGTATTATTATCTTATCGTCTACTGGCAAGTACCATTTTATTTATTCAACCAGGCCAATTTTTACTCACATTTGGCATGTGATCATTTTGGATTTTTGGACAGGAATTTTGTAAAACCCAGCTAATGGCAACATACTCCTCAAGAAGTAACAGGTAAAATGAACCCAAAATAAAATCAGGCTACATTAAAAAAGAACAATTTTAAAAAGGCTAAATATCTAAATGAAATATCCTTCATAAAAGTAAAACCGAGGAAGTGCATCAGATGAGCAAAAGATTGCATTGTGTGTTTTTCTACAGCTCTTATCACACACACTGACAATATGATCATGAATGCAAAACATTAACATTGTCAGCGTGTGTAAGTTGGTATGCAAGTCACATGGAGCTTGGGAGAGGAAATGAATAAGGACACAATAATGCAAGATACAAAGACTGACCTTTGACCTATGCACTTCTCCATCATCATCCTCTCCACCGACACCCAGGATCTTGCGTGTTTTGAGTCGGCTCACCAGATCGGTCTGACTGTGTTTCTTCATCAGAGGTGGATGAGGTTTAGTAGTCATTCCAACAGTCTACAGAGGAGAAGAGGAGTGTGAGAGCAAGATCAGATCTGATTTGTCACTACATGTTCACACACGTACTGTTTGTGTGGCCACACACACTCCTGTGCACTGGGAATGGAGTTCTCATTCTTCTATTTATTCTAATGAGACAAGATCTTTACTATGCACAATCCTCAAGGGCACCAGGCTGTCCTGACATACCAGTGAACCCCCAATGAGGCAGCAGATTATTCAAGGGAACCAATTATATTTTGTTCTCAAAAAGGCAGCAAAAAGACATCACTCAGGGCTCCAGACTGCGACCAAATGGCCTGGTTTATACTCGCCACGTCAGCACGAGTGCGAAGGTGTGCTCAGGAAAAATTACACACATATTGAGGAAACGATGGATGGTTTTCAAGCTAAAGTAATGTGAAAGGCCGCTTCTTAAACCAGAGAGGGTGAACATGTTGGTATTCTTGTGGGGAAAAAAAAAAACTTGCAAGCACTGTCACCGTCAGCAAGTTTAGTTTTACTTTTCTTTTTGTTTTCATTTTGAAAAGCTTGTTATCTTTGCTGTTTACCTGTTAATATGGAGCTATGAATATACGCTATGGAGGCTCTCTTTTATTATTATTATTTTTTTTTTATTTGATTCCTCAGTGTTTGCCAAACTTTCTGTAATTTATTAGTCGGTATATAATACAGCATGTGGTGTTTGTCATGCCTCATCTTACTCGTTTTTGTTAATAAACATTTTGTAAGCTAGTTTGCCATTGTATCCTACTGTTTTATTGTTGTTGTGCTTTTTAATTAAGAATAACAATGAATCCATATTTTGTTTTAGTCTTAAAAAGTGAAAGGTGTGTAGATGTATGTAAGCAAAACAGACAATTATCTTTTCTCGTAAAACGTTGCAAGATCGCAATTTAGAAAGTCTTAAAAGAAACAAGATTCCCTGAATTATCGTCATTGATATCGTTATCGTAATAAATACCAGAAATATCGTGATATATTTTTAAGCCCATATCGCCCATCCCTACTGACATGTGGACACATGCCACTGTGATTTTATATCTAGAAACTGTGGCCTTATTTCTCATGTAATTTCCTGTTATTTGGACATTACTTCTCAGAATTGTGCCACGCGAGGCCTTCAAATAGGCTGGTTGCTCAGACACAAGTGTAGTCTTACTGGAAAAAGGACATTTGAATGTCAGAAGTAGACAGTGCTTGACCTGCAGGAATATAATAACTGATTACCTGTAAGTGTAAATGGACTGTCTTGCAGAGGGAGAGAGGAGAGAGGAGTCACAATGGATGAGGAAGAGGATGAAATACGCCGGAGGCTCCAGCACTACTGAGCCTAAAGAAGGTCAGGAAGCTGCAAGAGCAAAAAGAAGGGCAGACTTTAAAAGGACAGCATCATCAATGAGCTCTTCAAATGGCAGGATGTAGCAGTCTACAAAAAGTAGGATTAGTTTCAGCATTAATAAAGATGTAATTAGACCAGCAGATATTTAAAACATCAAATTCTAAATTATAGATGATGCAAAAATTAATGAATGAATCAAGCGCTGCAACACATTTGAATCATTTTTGGCCACTCTGTCTAAGACTGACAAAACAAACCTACTGAAATCAACAGATCATGGATAAACAGGCTACTAATTTAAAAGTATAAAATATAATTTAAATGCTGTGCATAATAAATCCATGAATCAGAAATAATGTTTTAAGTGGTCTGCATAAGACTGTCTAATGTATACACACAAAATACAGTAAATAAGTATACATATATAATAAATCTATACACTGTTGTTTAAAAGTTTTGGGGTTAGAAGATTTTTTTTTAAATAAATTAATATTTTTATTTAGAAAGGATGCATTAATTTGAACAAAAGTGACATTTCTTACAAAAAAATTATATTTCAAATAAATGATGTTCAAGCCATTACATGATATTATGAATCAAAAATCCAGAAAAAATGCTTTCCACAAAAATAGTAAGTTGCATAACTGTTTTCATCAATGGCAAATAATGTTAAATGTTTTTTGAGCACCAAATCAGCACATTACAATGATTTCTGAAGGATCATGTGACACTGAAGACTGGAGTAATTTCTGCTGAAAATGTAGCTTTGCCATCACAGGAATAAACTTATTTTTATAATATAGCCTATTAGGATAGAAAATGGTTATTTTTTATTGTAATAATATTTTGCAATATTACAGTTTTTACTGAGATTTTGATCAAATATGTGCAGCCTTGTATTTATAATAAAAATAATATATTATAACAATATACTTTTTTTTTTTTAAATATTAATTTATATTTCATGCGATTTTTTCTCTGCCAAAAAAAAAGTTCCAAAATGAGTCAGAGCATCAAGTTTTGTGTTATTATCAAGCAACAAATGCCTTATGAAATCCATTTTATTTCTTCCCCAAATTCAGACTGTTTTTTTTCTTTTTTCAGAATTCTGTCTTTTCCGTTTTAATTTTTCTGAATTCTGTTTTTTTCCATTTAAATTTTTCTAGACTCTGCTGTAATGGTTAAATTAAAAAATATATTGATCAAAAAGCATGTCTAATTAATTGAAATCATGAAATGTACACAATTTAACAGCAATTTAATAAAAGTTTAACAAAACTGACATTTTTAAGGTCCTATGAAATACTTTTTTTCTCTCAAATTCGGTTTTATTTTTATTAATATGAAAATGAAAAAGTAAATAAATTCTGGTAAATAATTTCTCTGGTAAATATTCCTTAAAAATTATATTTTAATAATTTTATTAGTAGTATAGTAGTATCATTACATTAAAGGCACAATATGTAAGATTTTTTTAATTCTTCTTTACAAATCCTCGTTTTGTACTTCTAATAAGTGACCGTTGTTTTGTTTTGATCTCTCCGGTGCGCTTCTGCATTCGTCACTTCTGAGCGGCGCATGCGCAAATCCGACCTCATACTTAATCCGCCCAGAGCTGCTTCCGTGTAGGACTGTTGGCGCAAGTTACATTAAAGTGATTATTACATTTTGAATATGG